GGCTAAATGGCTAAATGTGCACTGCTGAGGCCAGCCTGGCCTGAGGTGTCAGCCAGTGGAACAGCTGGCAGGGCCTTTGTGCTCATGTCTTTGTGGGGTCAGGGAAAACTTCAACTGGATGGGTATGGCATTGTGGGAGGAGTGCTGACATGGGGGCTTGGTAGTTTTAGACGAGGGCTCCTCTTTCCCCTTGTTTAGAGGAAAAAGGTTGTCCTCCCTACTGGATATGTTCAGGGGCTTCTTCTACATTGCTGTAAAACCCGTCTATCATAAGCCTGGATTAAAGTAGGAAGGAGAGCAAACACAAAAAGAATCTCCTGGTATCTGGGGGAAAGGATCACCAGAGAGAAGGGCATAGGATTCTAATCAAGTTCTTGTAAGAAAGAGCTAAGCATAGCCAGGCGTGGTGCTGCATGCCTGTAATCCTGGACACCTGTAATCTCAGCACTCAGAAGGCTGAGGGAGGAGGATTAAGATTTTGAGTCTGGGGTACATAGTGAGTTTGAGGCCAAACTGGGCTACATAGCAAGTACCTGTTTCAAAAAAGAAAGGAAGGATAGAAGGCTGGAAGGCAGGAAGAAAGGGAAAGGAAGGAAGGAGAAAGAAAAGAGAGAGAGAGAGAGAAAAGAAGGAAGGAAGAAGGCTAATGGTTTTGTGTCAGTCCTCTGTGTTCCTGGAGGCTTGGAGTCTGAGGTTCTCAGACCTGCAGCCCAGAGTCAGTGCCAAGGTTCATGCTGAAGGAAAGGAGCTAGAAGGACAGGCCAGCAGAGGGCAATGTTCTCAGTGCCCCAGTGCTGGAAGGGTCCCCAGAAGTCAGAGTCAGACACAGGGAGGACTTCCCAGCTATAATCAGCAGGAGCAAAATCCCTGATGGCCCAGGAGTGACAAACACCCGTCAGACCAGGGGCTCGTCACCACCTCTGGGATCACGAGGCCTGGCTACCTGATACTACCCCCACACACAGACATGCAGAAACTAAATCCAGCAGGCTCCCTCCTAACTCTCCTCCTGCCTGGGCAGCAGGGCAAGGGCAGACCTGTGGCCAGGGCTGGAGCTCCTGGAGCACTGTGGGCCCCTGGGAATCTCCCTCTGCCGACTCAGGCCTCATGGTTCTCTGAGAGGAACAAGCTTCACACACACACACACACACACACACTCACACTCACACACACAACCCTGTGACAGCTTCCACATTTGGAGCTGACAGATGTGCAAGGTAACAGCTCGGCACTGCCTGTGCAGCTGAGGCCCCGGCGTTGTGAACAGGATTATTTCCAGCAAGGCTCAGGGCGGCTGCGTGAGCAAACGCCTGGGTGTGTGTGTGAGTGTATGTGTGTATGTGTGAGAGAGTATGAGTGCGTGTGGCTTCTCCCGCCATCACTTTCCCTCCATCTAAATCTATCTTACTATATCTTGGAATCTTTCTGTCTCTGTTTTCTTCCCTGAGTTTCCTGCTTCTGGCCCTTCCTCTGTCTTCTCTCTCACAGTCCTGCTCACCCTGTCTCAGTCTTTGACTTCTGCTATCTGTTTTTGTTCTCTGCCTGGATGCTCCAGAGAAGAGAGGGACTTGGCTCCTCTCACTCTCCTCTTTGCCCTTGGTCCCTTGCCTGTCTGGCCCAGGCAGGCCCAAAGGACAGACTATTGGAAAAAGCCCATTTTTGTTCCAGAAAATGATGCAGCTGTCCTGTCCCTACCCTTTGCATGGGGCTCCTGCCTGGAGTGTGAGACAGAGATAGAGATAGAGACAGAAGGAGGAATTAAAGGAGAGGGAGAGAGGGAGAGAGAAAGAGGGGAAAGGGGGGAAGGGGGAGGGAGGGGGAGAGAGAGAGAGAGAGAGAGAGTGAGCACGAGAGAGCACAGACAGGAGCTGGGAGCAGATCTGGGACCTAGGGCCAAGAAAGTTGTCCCTCAGCCTTGGTCACCACTGTCTTTGAGTCTCTGAGGCCTGGCCTTCTCCTGACAATCATCATTTATAGGTAAATTAGCATTTAAACAGCAGACCTTTTCCACCTTTGTCTCCATCTCTGTATTCCCAACCCCTGCTATAGACTGAGGCCGTGGCTCCATGCTGACCTCAAATCTGGCCTCACTGTTACCCTGCTCCTGCCCACACATTGATCCTTAACCCGACCATGGACTGGCCCCAGTCCCTAACCCTGACTCTCCCACGAACTTCTTCTCTGAGGGGCTGTGCCTCTGACTTCTGACAGTACTGCTTGGGTACCCATGGCTCACAGCATACTTTTAAATGTTCTGGTGCAGTGGGGACACTCTTAGTTCCACTGACTTAGATTTCGGGATTAAAAAGGAGCAATGGGAACATGTTTTATACTCTCCAGGTGATTCTCCCTGTGGGGTTTCTCCTAGGGATTCCAAGAGGGTGCAGTGTCTTCTAGAGATGCCCAGCACAGGGCTGCCTGCACTGGGTGGGGCCCATTCAGCTCCTGCCTGTCTGCAGTTACAGTAACTATACCCAGCCCTTCCACACACTGCTGAATACCTGGCAGTTGGGCCTGGCAGCATTCACTGACTCCTTTGCTCACTCACTCTCATTCTCATTCTCATTCATTCACCATTTAGCAAACACTCAACCAGCCTCAATGTGCTGGATCTGGATAAAGGGCATAAAATCCACAGAGCCTCTTGAGGCTGAGGCCCTGGATCCCTGAAAAAGGCTGGACCCCAGCAGCCACTGCAGGCCTGAGCAGGAGCGGCCTCTGCAGCAGCTGAACCAAGACCCGAACCAGAGTGTGAGCCAGACTCTTACAGCTCCAAGAGGTCACCCAGGGCTGTAAGGCAGTGGGAGCCAGGCCCCTCAGCCCTTCCCTGTGGATGGGTAGGGGCGGCAGGCCTGGGAACAAAGTGACCACTGGACAGCTTCCAGTTTCCTTGGCTAAGGCACCACTCTGAGCTTGGGTCAGCTGTAGGGAGGGCCTCAGAGGTGGGTGCCCCAAAGGAAGAAAGAACTTCCTTCATCCTCCCATTCTCCTTCCTCCATCTGGGCAACTTAGAAACTTACCAAGACCCTGTCTTACAATAAAAAGTAAAAAAAAAAACAAAAAACGGTTGGGAATGTGGTTCAGTGTAGAGGACCTAGGTTCAATCCCAAGTACTAGAAAAAGTAAACATAAAAATAGGAGTCCAGGGCTTTCCAAACTCAGTGCAGTTAGGCACAGTTTCCTAGAGGGGAAAAAGAGACAAGGGGGTAAGGGAGGAGACCCTTACTGGATAGTAATAACTCCATGGGTGCTACTTCAGGTCAGAGACACACATTGCTTTCTTCCTCCAGTACTGTAGGTGGAAGGTCTTAAGGTAGCTTGCTCCCTTCTCTCCTCGACACCTTCATCATTTAACCCCTCTGAGCTGACCCTAGAGGCTCCAAGTGACTACCCAGCTAACTTCCCAGCATGCTGGCTAGTGGCTTCTAGTCCACTCCCCTCCTCCCCTGTACTCAAACCACTAAGAAACATGGCTGGAGGTGTTACCCCGTAGTCTCCTCTTGAGCTCCCAGAAGTGCTCTTTGATCACCTCCCATCACCCTATGGGATCCCTTGGATGAGGGAACACAGCCAGCCCTTCTTGGGTGTGCTCACACAAGGGTGTGCACATTGGCTATGTGATTCAGAATGACTCCAGACACATGTTGGCAGAAGAGGTCATGTTCTGTGGGGAAGAATGTGGGTGGAGGCCAGCAGGCGGTATCCCATGCAGGTCCCTGGGCAAAACATGGGAGATACTAGGATGGAGCATGTCCCAGGGGATTGATTCCCAAGAGGGGAGGTAGGAACAGCTGGCTCACCAGGCTTGGCTAACAATGGACTCAGTGCCAGCTTGAATGTAGGGTCTGCATGTGTATTCATGGGACAGGAATTGTGGGGTGGGGGAAGCTGCTGACCAGCCTCATCCCAGCTGTCTAGGCCCATTGACAGAGGTGCCAGAGCTCCCTGGGGTGGCCCAGGAATATTTTTCTTTCTCCTTCTCTTCACAGGCCAGCTTCTGGCTCCCAGCTCCAGGATATTAAACACTAAACCCAAAACTGCCCAGCTCTTTCACACCAAAGACAAAGAGAAACCCTGTTTGTCTTTTGGCTAATCTCTGGCCCTGCTTACCCTGGCAGCTGGGCTCTGGTCATGTGTAGGCATGTACTTATATGTGTACTCACATGTGCTTGTGTGTGGTGGCTAAGGCCAGGGCATGCACTCTGGGCACACAGATGGTTGGTCCCTGGAGCCTGGCACAAAAGCCTCCCTGCTCCATGGGGTCAGGCTGGAGGCCTGGGAAATCTCTGTGGGCAGAGACCATGGGTCACTGAGCAGGTCTTAAAGCCTGCCAGGGAGAGTGACCGTGTCCCTTTCTGATGTCCTCAGGCCTGATAGTCTAGAATCCTAGACTATGAAACAGGCCTAGGGAGACAGCTGGGATCCAAGGCCCTTAAACCTCTGCTCTGAGAAGACAAATGTCAGGCATGAGAGCGCCTCGCCACCTTGTGGGAATATGTGGTACTCCTCACTGAGCCCCTGATCAGCCAACCTGAGAGGGAGTCAATCCTGCTGGACCTTCCACCAGGGCCTGGGCTGGCTTTCATACTCGAACAGAGGAGGAAAGGGAGGAAACCCACCCACCAAAGCAGAAGGGGCAGCCTGGGATGGCCCATCCCCACTGCAGAGGGCACACCCAATTCCGGATGATGCAACTGGACTATGCTTGAAGCACCATGGAGGCAGGTTTGCAGGAAGAAACTTGTAGTTCATTTGCCCTAAGGAAACTGCAGCCCAGGAAGGGGGCAGGACCCACACTGAAGGCTCCTAAAGCTCATATATTCTCCTGCAAGAGTCCCAAACAAGCTGTCCAGGGGAACCTAGCCCCCTAAATAGACCTGCTCACCCTGCAGTGGGAGTTCTTGTCGCCGGTTGGCAGAGGCATGCTATCTGGGCCTTGAGAACTTGAAGCTGTCCATAGGGCTCCAGGACCATCAGGATCTTGATGTCAAAAGGCAAAAAATGTTTTATCATTTATGGGGCACTTACTGCAATGCTAGCATTGTATTGAACATTTACAAACATTATGTTACTTAATATTCACAATGATATAGGTGTATTTTAATCCCCATTTTTCAGAGAAGGAAACTAAGGCACAGAGAAGCAACTTGCCCTAGGTTGCCAGGTGGTAAGTGGCAGAGCAGAGATCTAAACCCGGTGATTTTGACTTAAGGGTGAGGGCTCTGGCAGGCAGGGTTTACTCCTTGGGGATCCTGAGGAACACTGCCAGTTCCTGCCCTCCAGCAAGAGTAGCTGCCACTTCTCTAGGAGGCATGGCCTCTGTGTGCCCTCTGCTGGGCACAAGGAGGATCAGGGTACTTCCTTCTACACAAGCAGATGCTATCAGTGTCTTGGCATCAGCTGTAAATATGCTCTCTTCCCAAATATGGGTCAGGGGTCAGGTCAAGTGGTTGGCTGCACCACCACCACCCTGGGGGGCTCTCAGCCCAGTTCACATCTACCTACTGGCAGAAGGAACAGGTTTCTCAGGGCTTTCCTCTTCTTGAAATCCTGCCTATCTCCCCCGAAAGTATGCTGATCCTAACCTACCCCACTGAGAAGCAGGACCATGAACCAGATAGGTAATGCCAAGAGGGAGCTGGGATCCATGTGGAGCACTTCCATGTGGGCAAGGGCTAGAATTAGAAATCCAAAGGGAGGGTGGGGGATTTAGCTCAGCAGCACCATTCCTGCCTTGCAACTGCAAGGTTGAGTTCAAAAAACTTTCCCCACCTAGAAATCCAAAGGGATACCTGGGAAAGGACCTTCCTGTGAGGGCCAGAGGGGGGCAGGCCTTGTTGAGTCCAGAAGAATGGCTCCAGAGTGAGGAAAGCATAGTAAAGACTTGGGTCAGTGTGGACAAAAGCATGAAGAAACAGGTATCTCAGCATCTCCATCTAGAACAACTTTCTTTGGACCCAGGCTTGCCACTGAGTGGGCCTTGGTGACAGGAAGACAAGAGCCCTAAACAACTCCCCAGGAAATAAAGGCAGCACCCTAAGTTTGGGTTAATAGCCTCAGGAACAGCCTCAGGCATAGGGAACCTCATGGGCCTAGTAGAAAAGGAGGAAGCAGGAGTTAATGCACATTTTATTTATAACTGCCTTTGCTATGCTCAGCAGAGGGAGGGATGCCAGGTTTTGGAGGAAGAAAGCCAGAATGAGGACACAAAGTTCAACAGGTGTCACGACCCTGAACAAGGGTTGTGTTGGTTGGAACTTTGTGTGTGTCCCACCACCCTTCCCTCTAGGCCACCTGTGAATCTACATGGGTTCTCCTATTTCACACTTGATCAATCCCCCCTCATCCCCATGGACTGGCCATAGGCAAGAGACCCAAACTCTTCTCTTCAGTATTTCAACTGCTCTTTTTCTGTTCTTCTCACCCCTAAGATTTATTCTTAGGGAGAGAGAATACTAACACCCATAATTGCTTTCCCAGCCTCCTACAGAAGCCTCATAACCCAGGCTACACAACCCAGACTCTGGATGGCTGGTAATGCCAGTCACTCCCAGCTGGCTGCATATGAAGGCAGGACAGTAGGCATGAGTGTATTAGGCAGCGTTGGCTGTGGCAGGATGTGAGGATAGGAAGGCCCCGGAAGCCAAGGCCATGGGCTTATGTATCATAGAAGTCCACATGAGCTCCAGACTTGAACATGTCTGTTTGCAGCAAGCTCAGGAGTTTTTGGGCTGACATTCTGCAATCCACCAGCTGCCCCTTTGCCTTCAGCTCCTGCAGGCTTCTTCGCAAGTCTGGGTCCATGGAGGTCTCCCGGGCCAACTGTTGCATGTCTGTGTCCAGGGGACCTAGGGGATAAAAAACAGAAGACAAGAACAGAAGGTCATGGGTCCCCACTATGCATGGGGGATGGGGCTGAGTCAGGTCTGACCAGGGGCAACACTTCATCATGGTTGAAATGAACGGTCAGGGTAGCCAAAGGCACCACTGTCAATACTAAGTTCCAGACTCAAATTCCAAAGGTCACTGAACATGCTCCCTCCTAAGCCACTGTGTCTAAAACCAAACTCATTATCTCCTGTCCAAGCAGCACCGTCTCTTGACTTTCCAACTTCTATTAACAAAGTACTAAAAACAACCTCCATTCTCCTCCACTCCCTCCCCTCCAGACAAGCAGGCGCTAGGCATCAGGCACCAGTTAAGACCTCTGTGTCTACATACATTGGCAACCTGTCCCTTTTTTGGTTTTTTTGGTACTAGGGATCGAACTTGGGCCCTTGCGCTTGCAAGACAGGTGGCAGAACGACTGAGCTACATCCCCAGCCCAACCTGTCCCTCTTTACAAAGCTAGGTCTCCTCCTACTTCCTTGGCTCACCCTCTGCTAAATTCATTTTGCTAATAGATCGCATCACTCCTCTACTCAAAACCACTTACAAGTTTCTCAGTAGCCTGTCCTGTGCTCAAGGCCTGCTCTATGAGCATATGCAGGCTCAAGCCAAACGAGAAGAGCTGTCACCCCCCTAACAAGATTTCCTACCTCTATCTGCATTTCTGGGATATACCTTGCATCTGCTAACATCCAAGTAGCCCACAAGCGTCAATGTACAAAACAGGCTACTTCCAATAAAGCCACCCCTGATCTCCCCACCTGAAGGGAATAACTTCTTTCCTGAACTCTTCTAAACACTTTCTATTCTTCATATCAGAATCACAGCACCCCAAAATTAGGAGTTAATGGTTTTCAGGAGCAGAAAATCACAGAATCTCAGAGCTGGAAGGAGAATCATCCTGACACTTAAGTTTCTAATCATCTGTGCATCCTTGATGAGAGATCATTTCAACCTTTCCTAACAACATTCTTCTTGAAATTCACATTTTTTTTTGGCAGTTCTAGGGATTGAATTCAGGGCCTTGCACACATGCCAGGTAGGCATTCTACCACAATCACCCCACCCACTGAAGTAACCAGAGTGGCCTGTGGCTTTAAGGCTCTGGGAAACTCCAAAGAATCTCAGCTCCTTCACAATGTCCAAGACAGCTTCCTGAGATCTAACCCAGCCACATGGCAATCTAGAATCTGCTCTGTGCCTGGATGTGGTTTACATTTGGTCACTGCCGTCTGAGTCCTAGGTGAAGTTCTGAGGGAGTGTTAAGTTGAATGTTAGTGCAAGAATAATTGTGTGTATGCTAGGGGTGCTGGGGACTGGAGAACACGAGGAAGTGGACACACCTGATCAAGACACACACTAATCAGGAACTTGGAAGCAAGGTAGGATCCTGATCCCACCACATCTGGGCTCTGGGCAGGCTATTCTACCTCTTTGCCCCCAGGATTCCGAAGGGGAGTAGACTACCAGATCTCCACTTAAGTTATTCAGACACTACCCTGGCTCTGTCACCACCTGCTAACTGCAAGTGAGAATAAAAGCCCTGGCCCAAGGGCATCTTGGCAGGTGGTCAGAAATCAGACCAGGTATCATAAAACCCCATACCCTTTAACTTTCACAAGAACAGAGTCCTTCTCTTATTTATCTCAATAACCCTCAGTCCCCAGCTGCCGTGCTTCAGCTCAGTTCAGCCCGGGATGATCACAACTCTGCAATGTCTGTTTGCTCTTCATTCAACTAACATTTACCATGGAGTGCCTCAGCGCAGCTTTGCAAAGGAAAGAAGCTGACAAGTGCACATATGAAGGTAATACAGTGTGACAACTCCTGCATCAATTTGCAGTGTTAACCACTAGTACTTCACTATTAAGGTTCATCACATGAACTGCCTCTTCCAGTGCCCCCAAATGCCCTGTAAGACAGATAGCATCTTTCCCATTTCACATGAGGATATGGGGTTCAGGCCCAGAATTGAAACCTTAGTCTTTGCCCAAATGCTATCAGATATCTCAGATTTTCCTGTTCCACCCTCCAGTTCAGGCAACTCCCTTTTCTCTTTCTGTATCCTCTGCCCCAGCCAGCTCTAACTTCTTTGGAATCTGTATTTCCTGAGGAGTGAGGGGGTCATGATTCAGGGACAGTATACTCTGTGGGTCTTTTCTCAAGGAGACAGAGTAGGCCCCTTGTCCATCCCCCAGCGAGGAACCGGCCAGTTCTGGGGGACGGGGGAAGCACTTCTCACCTACCTGGGGCATAGCTTAGCACCCTCACACTAGGCTCCTCTGTGGCCAGGACCTGGAACATCATGTCTCGAGCAGCCTTCCCTGCACAGTACAATGCCCAGCCCTTGAAGGGCTTCAGGGCACAGAGGGATGAGATGTTAACAACTGTCCTGCTGAGGCCAGGACTGTCAGGGAAGGCCTTCAAAACACCGGAGGTCAGGCAGAGGGTGGACGTCAAGTTCAGAGCCCAATAGCTGTTCACTTCAGTGGGGTCACTCAGGTTCAGGAAGCCTTTTGAAACATCCCCAAGAGTGCCTGAAAAACCAGACCAAAGAAATAGCTCAGTGTAAGTGGGGTTTCTCCTTCAGCCCTCTCCCAAATCCTCCAGATACCTCTTTCTCAGGCCCATGTAAGAGAGAGCATCTCTCTTAGCACCTCCCAGGCCACTTTCCCTCTTCCCTAACTCTGCGGACAGACAAGCTTGGGGAGGCCACTCAATCAAGCTGCTTTCCTTTGCAGCTGCCTTGCTACCGGAATGGGATGGAGGGAACTCTAGAAACTCCTTGGAGAAGCAAGAAACTTGTTTGGAAACCCATGGGCGTCCACCAGAGGGCGCTGCGCGAGGCGGTCGGGGAAAGTTGTACGGGCGCTTTAGAAAACCTGGTGGTGCGAACCGTGCCCGCGTGGGTGTGGGGTTGACCCGACAGCACTGCTCATTTCTAGCGTACACGTCGCCTCCGCTGGCCGCGCAAGCCTGAGCAATTGGGGTTTTGGACTTTCAGCCATCTAGTTGGTGTCCCTCGGAGTCGCCCGCCTCAGCCCGCGGTGTCTCACCGGCATTGTTGATGAGCAGCAGTCTCTGCAGCCCCTCAGGCCTGGGCAGCTCGCGAAGGGCCCCGAGCAGCTGCTGCAAGCCGGCGTCCGAGCCCAGGTCGGCGGGCACCCGCACTACGCGCAGCCCAGGCCGCCCGGCGCCCAGCTCGGCCTCCACCTGCCGCAGCGCGTCGTCATTGCGGGCGCTTAGGAGCAGCACCGAGCCGGGCGACAGCAGCCGGGCCACGAGCGGGACCAGCGCGCGGCCGAAGCCCCGGGAGGCCCCGGTCAGCACGCACACGGCACGGCCCAGGTTGCCACTCTCCATGCCACCGACCGCCACTTTTGGGCGCTGGGCCCCGGGACCCGTATGGGGCGGGGCGGTGGGAGGAGCCCGAGGCGGGGCGGGGCCGAGGCGCGAACAGTTGGTGTCCGGTGTGCAGCCCTGGCCTGGGCCGCTGGTAGCTGAGTAGGGACGCGGGCGGAGTCTTCGTCAGTGCAGACAGGTAACCGAAGAGGGGCGGGAGGCGAGGCCCACAGGAATCCTAACCGGTTCCCAGCGCTGCCTTGTCTTTGGCGGGCCACGCCCCCTTTCCGCGGGCTCCACCCCGCGCTGAGACGCGAGCGCCAAAGGTCCTCCTAGTTCAGTTCCGCGGTTTCTGGAGCTGCTGGCCTCTCCCGCGGCGTCCCTGGACTTGAAGGCTTGGTTCCCTCCTGGGCTTACAGAACTCCCCGCCTTCTGGGTGAGAGGAGCTTCTTCTGGGGGAATCACAGTCGCTCCTCCAAGTGATGTAAAAAGCTTTTTTCTTTTTCCTGTGTAACTGGGGGCTCATCCTTTTCTCCCCACTTCTCAGTTTCTGAATTCCCGTCTCTCCTGTCAGTGTTCCCCAGGATTTTGCACCTTAAGAATTTAATGGATTCCTCTTGCTCTCCAGATCCTAGGAGACAGATTGGTGCAAGCACAACCCCATCTATTAATTCACTGGACATTTATTGGACTTATACCATGTGCCAGGCTATGAAGAAAAAAAGGAAAGGATGAAAGGATGACTGAAAATCAGACCTCACCTCTTTTGAATCCAGCTGCTTCTAGAAGCTGGAGGGTTTGCCTAGACTAGAGAAAGCGTGGAAATTTCTTCCCTTCCGAGAAAGGTGCTTATCTGCCCCCGCTCTCCCACCAGTCTTACAAGTAATATCTCAGGGGCAACATAACCTAGAATTTCTTTAAAAACAGAACAGTGGTTCTCAAATATCTCTGCAAGTGGAAGACACTGAGGAATTTTAAAAATACTGTGCCCTATGAGCCTTGGTTTTGGAATTGTAAAGATTTCTAGGTGATTCTCATGTGTGGACAAGTCTGGGAACCACTACAATAGCAGTTGGCAGTAAGTTTTCTTTGTTCCACTGTATGTTTTATTGATTTGGAAGTTGAGCATCCCACTTTAAGTCTCCTGATGGTTACTTTTGAAATAAAATTATAAATGTATGAAATTGTACTTTTTCATCAATATTAAAATCAAAACATTATATTTTAGGGACAAAAATATGAGTGAATTTTGGAGGAAAACAAGTCTGGTTGGTATCCTAGCTTTTACTAATGGAAACTTGGCTAGGTCATGTAATATTTTTGAGCCCTAGTGATTTTATAGGCTTCATTATTCAACATTGCACAAATATTTGTTGAGTGCCTACCATAAACCAGGAAATGGGTGAGGCTTTGGAGTTACAATGGTGAACAACTTAGACAATCTCTATATTCATAAAAAGTAGAATAAGGCAGCTAAATATAAAGCATTAAGTACATTGCTTTATAATTCAAATAATAGAGATTATTATTTTTAATGTCCCTTTATTTAATTATTTATTTATTGAGACAGGGTCTCACTGTGTGGTTCAGGCTTGCCTTGAACTCACTGTATAGCCCAGGCTGGCCTTGAACTCATGGCGATCCTCCTGCCTCAGCCTCCCCAGTGCTGGGATTACAGGTGTGAGCCACCATGCCCAGCAATGTCCCTTTATATTACTGGAGACTTAGCATATTTAGTTCTTTCCTCCATACCTCCCAAAGTACCAGTTTTGAAAAAAAAATTCAAGGAGTCTGTGTTGTTGAAAAATTCAAGGAGCCTTTCTGCCACTGTAACAAAATACCTGAGAAAATCAACTTAAAAGGAAGAAAGGTTTATTTTGGCTCACAGTTTCAGAGGTTTCAGTTCATGTTTACTTGGCCCTGTGGTGAGGCAGAATATCATGGCTAGAGCATGAAGCAGAGGAAATCTTTGTTTTAGTTACTTTCTCATTGTGGAGATAACATACTTGATAACCAGAGTTAAAGGAGCAAAGGATTATTTCAGCTCACATTTTGTAGAGGTTTCAGCTGGTTCCCAGGCAGGGTGGCATGGCAGAGGGGCATCACAAAGGAGAAACACTCCATGGAAAGCAGGCAAGAGATGGCAAAGAAGCAAGCAGCAGCAGCAGGCTTACTTTCCCTCTCTCCCTTTATATGCCATCCAGGTTATAAGCCTATTGATTGGGCATCCACACCTAGAGTGGGGCTTCCATTACCACACCCAAAAATATTCCAATCAGTGGACTAATTTAATACCACACATCCTTAATCCCAGTATCACATGCCCTAGATTCAGCCAGCTCTGAAAAGCCCCACCTATGATTGCATGAGACTTTGGGGGAACATCTGGGTACAAGCCATAACACCTGTACACCTCATGGCAGCTGGGAAGCTAAAAGACAGGGGAGTGGTCCAGGGTCCCAGTGTCCTCTTAAAAGGTGTGTCCCCCGTGACCTATCTTCTATCAGTCTCTACTTCCTAAAGGTTCTACCATCTCCTGAGTCCTTGCCACAGGCTGGTGACAAAACCTTTAGCATATGAGCCTTTGGATGACATGAGATCAAATCTAGAAAATACCTTTTAGATTTACCTTACTAGTACTTTATACAGTGTGTCTTTATCTTTATGAATTGTTTTTGTTTGTGAGACAGGGTCTTGCTATGTAGTTCAGGTTGGGCTTGAACTCACTAGGTAACTAGGCTGGCCTGGAACTTGTGATCATACTCCTGCCTCAACCTCCTAAGTGCTGGAGTTATAGGCACATGCCACCACTCCCAGCTCTCCATGAATTTTTTTTTTTTTTTTTACATCTTCACTATTTCAATAGCATGGAAACAAGAAATATTTAAACACTGTTTTGTGGTCTCAAATGGTTATCTACTTTTTATTGTACTATAGTTCTATGTTCTCACCTTCTTCATTTTGATTCCTTTCTTGGTTAACTGGAATACTTCTTTGCATTTTTTTAGGGGGGACCTTTAATGTATGAAAGTTTCTCTCTATTACTCTCTCTTATGAACAAGACCTTAATAGAACATAGACCTCTTGGCTCATAATATTTAACCTGATAGTCTAAAATGATACTCTATCACCTTGCTAATATTTAGTGTTAACCCCAAAAGAACTCTGATGTTTCTCTGTGGTTTTTGTTTTTGTTTTTGTGGTACTGGGGATTGAACACAAGGCACATGCTAGGTAAGCCTTCTTTCTACCAGTGAGCATACCTCTAGACTTCTTTTTATTTTTTATTTTCTCTCTCTTTTTTTTTTCTGATTGAACTCAGGACCTTGCACTTTTGAGGCAGGTATGGTACCACTGAGCTAAATCCCCAGGCCCCTTTTTATTTTTTATTTTGAGATGGGGTCTTGCTAAGTTATCCAGGCTAGCCTCAAACTCAGAATCCTCCTGCCTCAGCCTCCTGACGAGCTGGGATTACAAGTGTGCACCATCATGCCCAACCATCTCTTGTTTTTAATTTTGTGAGTAATCCATTTATTCCTGCCTAGGTCATCAAGGATTTTTAAATTCATATTAGAAACTTTAACAGTCTACCTGATGTGTCTAGGTATGTCTCATTTTTATAGTTTATTTATTACACAAATATTTATTGAACATCTACCCTATTTTTTTATTACAAAGACTCAAGTCTTCAGCTAAAAGAGTATTTCTATAGTTTCTCTTATTCTATTGTCTTCAAGTGGATATCTTACAATTAGTTCTTGGTTTTCTTAGGTTTATTTCTAACTCTTATATTTTCACTTATCATCATATTAATCTCTATATCCTTTTCATATGAATCCCATAAATCAGTCTTCTTTTCTTCCCTCCCTCTCCCTCCCCCTCTCCCTCTCTTTCTTTTTTTCCCTCTCTCTCTCTGCTCTTCTGGTATTGGGGATTGAACCCAAGGCCTACACACTGAGCCACATCCTCAGCCCCTTTTTATTTTTTATTTTGAGACAGGGTCTTGTTAAATTGCTAAATTGCCCAGGCTGGGTTGGAACTTGCAATCCTCCTGCCACATCTTGCATTGTGCTGTGATTACACGTGTGCACCACCACACCCAGCTAATCCCATAAATATTTTTGGAGCTAGCTGTCTAAATCACTGTAGTAACAATCTGTAAGGTGTTGCTTCCATAGTTTTATCTTGTTCAGTGTGGGCCTTTAAAGTGACTGGAAGGTGTAGCAAGGTAATTGTGAGTAGGAGTCAAATTCAGCATGTGTGCAGCTCTTATGTATTGTTGGTTGGGGCCTAAAAGATTCCAATCCCGTGAAAGGCAATTGAAATATTTTTGAAGTTGCAAATGCTTTTACCCTTTAATCAGTAATCCCACTTCTGAAAATTTACCTCAAATATTATAAACAGACACCTGGTTAAATACATTATGGTATTCTTTTTTTTTTCTTTTTGGTACCAGGGATTGAACTCTGGTCCTTGTGTTTGCAAGGCAAGCGACAGAACCACTGAGCTAAATCCCCAGCCCTCATTATGGTATTCTTGACATAATGGAGTTCAGCTGCAAAACTGAATGAAAATTTCTCTGTATACTGATGTGAGAGGATCTTCAGGATATATTAAATGAAAAAAGGCAAAATGAAGAACAGAAGAAATTATATGTTATATTTTTGTGCAATAAGGGAGGATATAGTATTTAAATTTTCACATATATTAAACATTCATATATTAAATACTAGAAAGATCCATGACCAATTACAATGCTAGCTAACTGTAGAGGAAAGGAAGGGGACTTGGAGTGAAAGTGAGTGAACTTATTTTTGTCTTCTTTTTTTCCCGAGACAGGGTCTTGCTATGTAGCCCAGTCTGGCTTCAAACTCACAGTGATCCTCCTCCCTCATCCTCGCAACTGCCTGGACATGCGCCACCATGCCCAGCTTAGTTTTGCATTTTAAAAACCACAGAAATGTGTTCCCTATCAAACATAAATAAATAACAGCTTCTTAAATGAAAATATATATGTATTAGAAAACAGAAAAACAACAGACTACATCAGAATTGTAATCTTTGTAGATTTACTTGACATTTTAGCATTCATAACATTAAATAAAATAAATACTATATTTAATTTTTAGTTATTTAACTTCCTGTGAGTCATTTGAGGAAAAAAATCTATTTGGAATTTTTCACATCTTGTGAGGATGACTTAGAAGGAGAGTATCAACCTTGCTGGCCTTGAAGTTT